GAAATTGGATTTCCAATGAAGATCAAGAAAAGGAAATAAAAAAAAACTTTCTTAGAAACAAATGAACACACAACAACCCTCAAATCTCTGGGACACAGCAAAAAGCAGTCCCTGAGAGGGAAGTTCATAGCACTACAGGCATACCTCAAAAAAAACAAGAAAAATTTAATAATGAACTATTTAACCTTACAAACTTAAAGAATTAGAAAGAGAACAACAAGAAAAGCCCAGAGTAAGTAGAAGGAAGGAACTAAAGATTACAGCAGAAATAAATGACAGAGACTTTAAAAAATACAAAAATAAATAAATAAAATAAAATAAATGAAACCAAGAGCTGGTTTTTTGAAAGGATAAACAAGATTGATGAACCATTAGCCACACTCATCAAGAGTGACTCATCAACAAGTAGGTGGAGCAGCCTCCCCTGCAGACAGAGATGCAGATCTTTGTGAAGACCCTGACTAGCAAGACCATCACCCTTGAGGTTGAGCTTAGTGACACCATTGAGAATGTCAACGCTAAAATCAAAGACAAGGATGGCATCCTGCCTGACCAATACCATCTGATTTTTGTGAGCAAACAGCTAGAGGATGGCCGTACTCTCTCAGACTACAATATTCAGAAAGAGTCCATCCTGCACTTGGTGCTTCATCTGAGGGGTGGCATCATCGAACCCTCCCTCCACCAGCTCACACAAAAGTACAACTGCAACAAGATGATCTGCCACAAGTGTTACACCCACCTGCACCCCCACGCTGTCAACTGCCTCAAGAAGAAGTGCGGCCACACCAACAACCTGCACCCCAAGAAGAAGGTTAAATAAAGCCCCTCCACTAACTCCTTGGGTCCACAGGGCAGCCTGAACCTATCTGAACCTTGTGACCCTGGGGCCTCAATAAAGTTTCTCTTTTGTTGACTGGAGCAGTAAAAGAAGAAGGAGAAGGAGAAGGAGAAGGAGAAGGAGAAGGAGAAGGAGAAGGAGAAGGAGAAGGAGAAGGAGAAGGAGAAGGAGAAAAGAAAAAGAAACAAAGTGAGAGGACCCAAATAAATAAAATCTGAAACGAAGGCAGAGAAGTAACCATTGACACCACAAAAATATACAGGATTGTAAGAAAATACTACAAAAAACTATATGCCAACAAGCTGGACAATGTGGATAAAATGGACAAATTCCTAGAAAAATACAATCTCCCAAAACCAAATCAGGAAGAATCAGAAAACCTGAATAAGCTTATAACAACTGCGGAAATAGGAGCAGTGACTTAAAAAAACAAAAAAGCAAACAAAAACAAAACAAAACAAAAACCTCCCAGCAAACAAAAGCTCGGGTCCGGATGGCTTCCCAGGGGAGTTTTACCAAACATTCAAAGAAGAACTAACACCTATATCCTCAAACTATTACAAAAAATCCAAGAGGAAAGAACACTTCTAAGTTCTTTTTATGAGGCCAGCATTATCTTAATTCCAAAACCAGATATAGACACTACAAAGAAAGAGAATTACAGGCCAATATCCCTGATGAACATAGATGCTAAAATCCTCAACAAAATATTAGCAAATCACATCCAGCAATATATTAAAAGGATCGTTCACCATGTCCAAGTGAGATTTATTCCAGGCTCATGGCTGGTGAACACAGTGGCAGTGGCAGGAGCCTCTCCCACCTCCGCAGTAGCAGCGCTAAGGATGTCCGCCTACCGGCTTATGCCATCAGTTAGACATCCCCCAAGGGCTCCCGGACTACGAGAGGGCACAGGCCAGGCTGAGGAACCCTCCCCCCCAGTGCCTGAATTTCGTGCACCAGGCCTCTAGTATCAAAATTAAAAGCTTCTGCACAACAACAACAACAAAAATCAACAAAATGAAAAAGAATGCCACTAAATGGGAGAACGTATTTGGCAATGATACATCTGATAAGGGGTTAATAACCAAAATATATAAGACTAGAGGCCCGGTGCATGAAATTCGTGCACAGGGGGCATGGGGGTGTCCCTCAGCCCAGCCTGCACCCTCTCCAATCTGGGACCCCTCAAGGGATATCCGACTGCCCATTTACTCTCGAAATCCAGGACTGCTGGCTCCCAACCGCTCGCCTGTCTGCCTGATCACCACCTAACCACTCCCCTGCCAGCCTGATCGATGCCTAACTGCTCCCCTGTTGGCCCGATTGCCCCTACCTGCCCTCCCCTGCTGGCCTGGCCACCCCTAACTGCCCTCCCATGCCAGCCTGGTTTTCCCTAACTGTTCTCCCCTGCAGGCCTGGTAGCCCTCAACTGCCCTCCCCTGCAGGCCTGGTCTCCCCCAACTGCCCTCCCCTGCAGGTCTGATAGCCCTCAACTGCCCTCCCCTGCAGGCCTGGTCCCCCCCCCCCAACTGCCCTCCCCTGCAGGCCTGGTCGCCCCCAACTGCCCTCCTCTGCCGGCCCGGTCACCCCTAACTGCCCTCCCCTATAGGCCTGATCACCCCCAACTATCCTCCCCTGCAGGCCTGGTCCCTCCCAACTGCCCTCCCCTGCTGGCCTGATTGCCCACAACTGTGCTCCCCTGCTGGCCATCTTTTGTCCACATGGGGGCAGCCATCTTGTGTGTTAGAGTGATGGTCAATTTGCATATTACCTCTTTATTATATAGGATACTCATACAACTTAACAAAAGGAAGACAAACAATCCAATCAAAAAATGGGCAAAATGCCGAAACCGGTTTGGCTCAGTGGATAGAGCGTCGGCCTGTGGACTGAAAGGTCCCGGGTTCAATTCCGGTCAAGGGCATGTACCTGGGTTGTGGGCACATCCCCAGGAGGAGATGTGCAGGAGGCAGCTGATCGAT